CTTTTAAATAGCAGAGAAAAATAAATCTGCCTCTGCTTCCCAGCAATTTGCCTCCTTGCAGCAAACAGCAAACAGTACAGATGATGTATACTGTTTGTGGTGTTACATTTCAAACTATACTTGTACAGATGCTGTTAAAATTGAAAGTGCTTTCTGGAAGTATATGTTATTCTCTGCTATTTAAAAGAAGATACAATAGCATTGGGCCTCTTCAGATCAAGCCTTTATTTTAAAAAGCTTCTTATTTTCCTAAGTTGTCTAGAACAATAATAAAGCAGTCTTTAAAAAATAAATCTAATAATTTGAACATTCTATAGGCATTTATATTGACTTACCTCCTTGCAGCAAACAGCAAACAGTACAGATGATGTATACTGTTTGTGGTGTTACATTTCAAACTATACTTGTACAGATGCTGTTAAAATTGAAAGTGCTTTCTGGAAGTATATGTTATTCTCTGCTATTTAAAAGAAGATACAATAGCATTGGGCCTCTTCAGATCAAGCCTTTATTTTAAAAAGCTTCTTATTTTCCTAAGTTGTCTAGAACAATAATAAAGCAGTCTTTAAAAAAATGAGTCTAATAATTTGAACGTTCTATAAGCATTTATAGTTATTGACTTACCTTCTTGCAGCAAACAGCCTTTTAAGTTTAGCCTGATTAGAAGAAGAAAAATCTGCCTCTCCCTCCCAGCAATTTGCCTCCTTGCAGCAAAGAGCAAGTTTCACTTTCAATTTCAGTTTAAGCACTAGCTGTTTCAGGCTGCAAGGATTGTCATAGCCTATTTCCTCCGCAAGCCCCATTTTCCCTTGTTGCCTCAAGGAGGTAAATTGCTGGGAGGCAGGTGCCAAAGACCCTTTTTGTGGGGCTGCATTCAGTGTATAAGATGTCCTCTTCTTGTTCTCCTTCACGGATCGCGCGTCCTTTCTCGACCTCCCTCACCAAATCTCTCGCGTGACAGACGGAACGAGGGACATGGTCCAAATGGTTGTGGGCACCAAGTATCCTTTAAATTTTCACCCTCTTTTAGGAAGGAAAAAGGTGCATCTTATACTCCGAAAAATATGGTAATTCTTCCTGAGACCCTCTCCTGAGACAGGGGGCTTCCCTAGGAGTCTCTTCCCAAGTAACTCTTTCTTTCCCAGGGATCCAGACCAGCCTTGTCTACTGGCCGGCAAAACTACGAGAGAGCGGCAAGGTGCTCTTTTTCAAGTTCTCCTTCTGGGACTGTGGCGAAGCCATGCTGAGAAAGTTTGACCACATTTTACCCGTGAGTTGTCCACAGAGAGACTTTCGGGGCCAGGTTGTATTCTGGGGCAGGGGGGGAGAATGGCGATGCCACTTTGGGGACCCCCTGTTCCCTTTCAGAGTTGGGAACCCTTGTGACGTTTCCTCCCTTCGCCGCAGGCCTGCAAAGAGAAAGCGGACGCCGTCCTCTTCTTGTTCTCCTTCACGGATCGCGCGTCCTTTCTCGACCTCCCTCACCAAATCTCTCGCGTGACAGACGGAACGAGGCACATGGTCCGAATGGTTGTGGGCACCAAGTATCCTTTAAAGCAGTGGTCCATGGACCACTGGTGGTCTGTGAGAAAGTTTTGGTGGTCCGCAGAAAAATTTCTGCATTTTTTATATTGCACTAAATTGGGGGTCCTCAAACTACGGCCCCTGGGAAGGATACGTGCAATGAACGCTTGTGCTGCTGCAGAGAGTCTCCCCTTCGGGGTCTTTTTGTGCAGGTCAGAGGGGGGCAGAAATTCCGATTTGGAGTCTGCTTCAGCCTCCTGGTGGGGGGCTTTGGGCGAAGACTGGAGGGATGCGCCGCTGGTGGCAAAGAGCCGAAGGGCCTCGTAAAAGTGGGACTGCATCATGGCCTGGAACTGGCTGAACATCTCAGCCCAGTAAGCCTCCAGGTGGTGGTACCTAGCCTTGCACTCCCACAGGTCTGCCCTCTGCTTGGAAAACCTATGCTCTTAGTCCTCAGTGAGGTGCTTCTGTTGAGCCTCCTTCTCGGTCAGATCCAATTTGAACTGAGCCGTTTTGCCAACTCT